TGTCGCAGAATATTCTGACGCATGAATTCGGGGTCGAGATTAGCGGCGATTTCGTACAGAATCGCGAGTGTAATGTCATTATTCATTGTTTTGGTTTGTATGGGCACCGGCTGTTGGACGGCATACAGTACATTATGGACCGACAAAAGACGTTGATTAAAGTTTGAGTGTATATACTAGGTAGTTTTTGTTTTATGTATAGGTATATCTATTCTTATGTTAAATAGTATTGTTATTTTAATTTTGTTTTTAGTTGAAGTGTTTTAAAACATGTTTTTATTGTGTATTTGTATCTCATATTTGCCATGAATTTCATTATTTGTATTTTATTTCTATTGTAATTGCATTTGAAAATTGAATTTTCTCTACAAATAAAACTACAATTTTGTTTAGTTTTTTATTATCACTACAACTCATGCCTTTTTCCAATTGTGTTATTTAATTATTTTATTTTGTATTTCATTTATTATTTAAGCAATAATTTGTTGTAATAGTAATATAACAATATACTGGCGATCCTTATGGGAGCGCTAATTAAAATATATACAGGCGCTAGTACAGGGCACAGGTACCATAAAAAATAAACTTATACTGTATCTAGAGTTTTATCATTAAATGTACATTTAAGTAAACCACTATAATAAAACTAACTAGATTTTGGTATAAAAATTAATAGTTATATAATTTGAAGTAAACTTGTAATTAGTTTTTGGTGTCTAATAGTGAATTCAATGGAGTATTTGCTACATTTTAGTAAACCACTATAATAAAAATCTAATTAGATTTGTGTATAAATATTAATAGTTATATAATTTGAAGTAAACTTGTAATTAGTTTTTGGTGTCTAATAGTGAATTCAATGGAGTATTTGCTCAGAATTATGAGCTAGCTTATTTAATTCACAATTCATATAGTGTACTAAATTATCCATACCTTCACCCCTTTTTAAGGCTGTCTACTAAAAAGCATGTGATTATTATTACAAAACTGCTTATCAGTCGCACAGCATATATAAAAAAGAAATATATTTTATAAAAGTTTTTTATGCTTTCAAATCGCAAATAAACCATAAATTATAAGCGAAAAGTCAATGAATAAATTAAAGTGAAGTATAAAGACATTCACTGTAGAAGGCTATGAGAAACACATGAGACATACATATCTAATCGTATGTGAGAATAAAGGTGTCGTTTTTATGTAATTAAATTAGGTCTAACCCTTGGGTACAGTGCTCTCTCTCTCTCTCTCTCTCTCTCTCTCTCTCGCAAATCAATAAAATATAAAATATTAAATTAAAAGTATTACAACTTAGTATTCACTCAATGATCATAATTGTATGAATGAATAAATTGTATTTTTATTAAAAAACTTATTTTGTAGAAAATTATTAGCTTTTTAAATATTTATATAATTTTTAGAATCTATACCGAGTTATACAGTACATAATACTTTTATATAATTCACCAATTTATGGTTGAATAATAATATACCCAAGGATATATTTGTATAACTTTGGGGGTGGGATATGGTATACTCACAGAATACTAATGTCATACAAAGTCATACAATTTTATTTTTAAAACCCATTTAAAATGCTTTATATGTTTTTCATATACATTAAGATTGTATAATTTATAAAAGCTGCCACTTACCATGGTCACATCATCTATGCTGGATATACTTCTCACGTATATATTTATGGATACGAGTGCTGGACCATCTATTAGTAAAATATAGTTAAAAATAGACATTAGTTTTGAGTTTTAAAAGTAATCATAAAATCATTAATATTTTTATAAATTGTTTAATGAATTTAATTGATTAGTATTCAAACGATTTATTTTGTAATGAGTATTGAATTTATTTTAATTACGAAATTAAGTATAGATTTACAAAATGGAGCAGAAATTCATTATTTATTAATTAATGTGCAAATAGTGTACACCTATTGAATAGCTAATAGATAATTGTATTTATTTTTGCTTTCATAATTTAAACCCCTATTAGAATGATCCAGATAAAAGTATCAAATATGGCATAGGTAATTACTGTACAGTATAAGGTACATGTATGTAAAAACTATTTTTGGATATAAAATCTTTTATACAAATCTCTCTCTCTCACACACACACACACACACACACACTCACTCACTCTCTCACACACACATCTATTCACTCACTTTTAGATCAATACAAAACTACTTTAATTAGTGGTGTTCTAAAAGGCATTCCCATTATAAAGGGTACAAAAAGGATCATTAATTATAGCTCTTATCACAACCGAAAAAAGTATTTCACAACAAAAAGACCATTAAATTTAAGTCCAATTGTAGTGATTGTGTGAATTTGTATAACACTATTAAGCCTATCTTAAGTACACTATTAATACAAATCTATTTTAATTCAAGCTATTTATTATAATGTTCACCTTATGTTCAATTTTTAGGTTACTTGTAATTTAAGTTTTTTGTAATTTTAAATATTCTTGAGCAAAGTTCTGTAATTTATGCACATTATGAAAGGTGTATGTATTGAATAAATTATTACTTAATTTACTCCAAAATATTTCGTACTTGAAATGAATCTATTGATTATTATCTATAAATTCTTAATTATATATTTGTTACCAAAAAAATGTGAATATATTTATTTATTATATAGAAGTATAGTAGCTATTTATGTATTTAGTATTAGTACTAGTAGTGTTTTAATTAATTTAGTATAAATGATAACTTATAGCGACACATACCCGCACCACTGGTGGCGTTGGCACCCGACGGCCTAATACGGGAGTCATACCGTCCGTCCCCTATAATGGAGTCGAGTATACGCTTTTCAATGGCACGAAAGTTGGCCGTCCCTTTACCGGTGCAACTGAAATGTATTTTTATATTTAATTAATTTTTATACAAAATTAGTGTAAGTACAAATGCCTACATAAAGTATAATATTATCGTATATTCAATGGTTTAATGAATTTGCTTAATTGAATACAATTGTATGTAAGTATTAGGCAATTAATGTATATTTTATTGGGAATTCATTATAAAAAAGCTTTTCTATAAGGCTTTAAGACATGATTTGAATAATCTTTTCATTTATTCAAAAGTAGGAGACATTTGACATCAATTGTCATTTCCATTGCATTAATGATTAAGAAATTTATAAATAGATTTCAATCAATAGAAAAAGTTTCTGAAATGAAATTTTTGTGAACAGAATTTGACACAAAAATCGTTAAAATATTTGTATTGATTGAGTATTAATTAGTGGTATCACTAGTAATCAAATCATAGAGTGATCCCATTTTTATTGATAAGGGATTGGTGTGTGTTTTAGATACATTTCCTTCATTTACACGTGTCTTAAAGTATGCATATTTTGCAACTAATCTGTGTTTTGAAGGAAATGTTTGTTAAGACCTCAATCATTATGATTTGTAAATTAGGTATCATTCAAAATGACAAAATTTTGTAACTACACTGTAGTTACTACAGTAATAAATGACAATAAATGCTACCTGTTTAGTTTACACAAATCTTAATTTATTTTTAGCTTTGTAAAAAATAAAATAATTTAATAATAAAAGTCTGCATTAATTTTAAACACGTTCAATATACTAATGCTTCAAAAATATTTTCTAGAAAATTTTATATATAATTAATACAATAAATTTATTGTGAACAATTTGGATATACAAATAATTTAACCCTGAGCCCTAACCACTTGACCAGTAACCAAATCATGGTCTTTAATTACTTATCAGATTAGATTTAAAATGTGTAAAAATCAAAGGATTATATACAAACTATCTAAACCTTAATGGAGTGCGTGTTTATCACATGTTCACATAATTAGTATAATAAATAAATTGTAAAAAATTATTTTACTAACTTATTAATTTTGCTATTTAACTTTTTTAATCGATTTGATAAATTCACGCTAAATATCGTATAAACTTTCACAATCAATTCATATACGACTAAATAATAAATTAAACATTACTTTTTGAGGTAAAAAGCAGTTTTTTACAAAAACTTTCTATCCGTTAATAATTAATGCATTTAAAACAAACACAAATGTCGGTCACAGATACAAAAAATTTATAAATTAATTATCCATTTCTTATTTGAGAGCAAAATATAAGGCATTTCTTTACAATCAACATATTTTGTGTATTTCTTAAGAAATTAAATATTAAAATGTAATATAATTTTCTCTGTGAGTTAATGGTTACCTAATTTGTGGACATAGCAAGAATGTGGTGATTATGAATAGCCATAGACTTATGTGATGACTACCGGTGCCCGTGTAGGTGGTGGTGGTAGTAGTGGTGGCCATAGATTTTGTACAATCGATTGCCGACTGTTTTTGATAGCTTTTTAAACGATTAGTTTTTCGTAGCATTATATGCGGCATAAGAATATTCTTAAGAGTATTACGATACGATTCTTGAGGTTTTTTATAACAGAATAATTCAATTAAATAGAAATTATTCTTACAGTATATATGCTACGATTATTATAAGTGTTATTACTATTACATATGTAGTGAATATTATTTGAGTATTATATATTGTATATATATTTATATATAACTAATTTGCAAATGTCGTGAATTAAATGCGATTTTCATGTAATGTTTATGTAATAAAAATTTATATTACATATTAATTAAAATGTTTGGACACATTGGTTGACAAGTACGTTAGACTAATAGATGTGGACTTTTTTGGTTATAATAGACTTCCCTAAATAAATAAGAAATTCAATTAATAAATAAGTTTTTGTACATAATAACTTGAACTAGATTTAATCTAAATTTTAGACTGATATAGCTTGCTTACCTTTTGAAATCAATTACAGTGTGTTTATATGTACTGTAGTTTACTGTAGAACTATGCGATCATTAATTATTTAATTACACAGGTATATCGTATATATAAATTTAAGTTTAATTATATTATAAAACCAATTATTCATATGGCCAGAGACAAAATTAATTATTTAATTCAAAAATTGTATTCATGCCACACAGTGTAAAACAAATAACATATTAAATAATTCACATAATGAACATATTTTTGACTCAAAAAATATATATAGTCATAGACTGTATGCTAGTATAACACACACGGAATCGTATATGCAATCTATGGCCAAAATAAATGTATTATTCTTCAAATGTCTGCTGAAATTCTGTGCACTCTTTTGGCTGTCTATTAGTGTGCTATTTGTGAGTGAAGTGCGCCGTTATCTGCAATCCCGGTGCCCGCGAAGCCTACCTATACTTTGTCGAGAAAGTCTGTAGTGGTATGATATTGATAGACATATGACAGAAGTTTTTATTATTATTGTAGAAATCAAAAAATAGCATGCACTTCCCTTAAGTGTTAATATTTGTACATTTCTAGTCATTTATATAAATGATTACTACATAGATGTCTAGAATTGGCACGACTTTTATGTAGAGTTTTTGATATGCATTCAAGTTATAGAAAGTTTGTATTTTTGATATAATTTTTATTGTCAACCCTTTTAAGGTATATATAGTCTATTAGTTCTTGTAGTGTATCAAAACTATTATGTATTTCATGCAACGTTTCCACACATAAGACTATGGCTTAATTGAGAGCTCAGTGTAGATATATAGCAGACTTATCACAGAATATTCTGTATATTTTGGCTCTAATTTTAGTTTGAGATACAATACATAACTAGTCGACCAAAACGCATGCGTTTTTCCATTGATTTCATGAAGTTATTGATGAAATCCAGGATTTCTTAAATGTGATGTCCGGACACATTTAGGCCCTATATGTGCGAGTTATGGGAAGGGGATGGGAGGGAAAGGGTTGATGTGTTAAAAGCAGACATTGAGTTAGAGATGTGTTTTGAAACATAAAGAAATAAAAATATCTATTTTTTATGTGACAATAGAAATGCACTTTTAGTTCAATTGATATAAAAATCAATATTTCTATGGATTTCAAGTGAAATATTTTTGGGATTTTAAGCTAAAGTTGTTTTTAAATTTTTGTTTTTATTGGGATTTGATTTGAATATATTTTTTGGGATAAACATATTTTTCAATTTCCAAAAATAGTTTATATTTCTTATTGACAATTATTGATTGAATCAAAAATTATTAATATTTTTCTCTAATTGAAAAGTTTTGTTTGTTTTGAAAACTTTTTCTAAGTTTAAATAAATATTTTGGACGACTTTGATGTCATTTCAAAGTCAATATATGCCTGATATATAGTGCACACAAATATATTATCAATTCATAATTATAATAATGTTTTCGTGAAAAAACTTAAATTTTGAGATTTAAATCAAAAAACATATTTATAACCAAAACATAAGCATAACATTCGTGTCATTTGAGACAAACAACTCTTAAAATAAATTATTAATTCATGAAATATTTTCATGCAATTCATAGCCAAAAATATATGCTCAAGAATTTTCTAAATCCAGGAGCCCATGGACA